CATAATGTAATTTCCGAAGACATTTTGACTGAAAGGAATTAAAAAGAAATTCGTTTTATAATCATATTATTATGTATAATCAATTTAGACCTGGACGTGTTGCCGTAAAGTGAAGCGTTCGTAGAATCAACACATTTTCCTCACATATCGGAGCGTCTTCATGTTTTATATTGAGACCAGTACAGCTGGCAAAGTGAAGCGACATCTTAATCGACATCGATATTTATAAATTGTTTTGTTGGGTTATATATTCATTGTCTGTTTTTTAAGTGTTAACATATTTATCCTTGTTTGCCTACAGTGGGTAGTCGGTCCAGATGTAGCTTGTTTCACGTCGCACTCAATGAGAACGTCTGTACATTCATTTTCAATGTATACAAAATCCGCGACGCCAGTATAGTGTGGCTCTGGTAAACACGCTCACGTGAAGCCAGGCACCATGAGGACTAACGACGCACTCAGCAACAGCCCAGTTGTATGGCGGCCGTCTGTGTTTAATCATTCAAACCAGACAAAACAGTAATAGTCATTGATATCATGGGCAACGGTCCACACCGTCTGTGTGCGACGTCACGCAATCAACCAAGTCCTCGGGCCTGGTCGTCCGATCCATTGAGTCCGACAAGCATAGGTTCCAGGAGAGGTGAGGTGAAATGGGGTTTAGAGTCACGTCCAAGATTATTGCACTTATATAGCGACGTGCATGCACGTGTGTGTGTGTGTGGCTGCTTGTACTAGTCCGGACTGATGCCGATTTATAGTGCTAGCCCACTGAGATACCATGCCGCAGTTTAACATGAATATCCCACTCAGACACAGTATACTGACTCCGAGCCGACCAGTCCTTGTTTTAGCCCCTTAATGCCGAGCGCCAGACAGGGTAAGAACAAGTACCATCTTTTAACGTCTTTTGGTATGACACGGCCGGGAATCGAACCCCGGACCTTCCGCTCTCCGAGCGGACGTTCTACCACTAGACCACGGAGGCGGTCCATAGGTTCTTGGACCAAAATGAAGACGAAGGGTATCGATAATAATGAATGCATGTCACTCAGTGAGCATGGCTGTACGCCGCTTATAACAATATTCCAACAATATCACGCAGAGGGATATCAGGCATGGCTTCACAATGCATGGAATCGATCCCGGTCCTACGGCGTGATGAGCGAACGTTTTGAACCACAATCGTGAATGCATGTCCTATCAACACGTTGAACCTGGCAAACATATATGCTTCATCACAATAAGGTCTTCAGCAACCCATGCTTGCCGTAAACGGCGACTATTCTTGTGGTATGAGGCGACTAACGGGATCTTCCTGACTTGGCTGATGCATGTCATCGTCCCAATTGCGTGGATCGATGCGTGGATCAATGGATTGTCTGGTCCAGACTCGATTATTTACAGAACGCCGTCATATAGCTTGAATATTGCTGAGTGCGGCGTTAAAAAAGAAACAAAGAAACAAACGAACAAACAATAAGTTGTCCTTTGAAGTGATGTTGCCAAAACAAAATGCAAGTACTAAAAGTAACAATTTCTTGAACCCTATTTGTTTTGGTAGATATGGTATATTACTAACTTCTTATGCACATTCGCATCATTTACGCGATCTAGTAATCTGATAATTGGGTTTAATGTAGCAATTCCCAGCGGAGTAGAGTGAACGGGTTTACGATTGACAAGATGACTAATTGTGAGTGAGTTAATGGCACTTGCGCAGTGAAATAGCGCCTTTATTATAGGCTTGCAAATTGTTTCCATGCCTGTAACAGATATTATCTAAACCAGTGGTCGATAGGTGAACATCGATCCCTGTCACTCAAATACCCACACTCAACCATACCACGGTTCTATGTGAGAGCAGGCTTCTTGTAGGCCACAGTCAGTAACATTTGAACCTTAATGTGAGAATGGATCTTGTAGGCCACAGTCAGTAACATTTGAAACTTAATGTGAAAATGGATCTTGTAGGCCACAGTCAGTAACATTTGAAACTTAATGTGAAAATGGATCTTGTAGGCCACAGTCAGTAACATTTGAAACTTAATGTGAAAATGGATCTTGTAGGCCACAGTCAGTAACATTTGAACCTTAATGTGAGAATTGATCATGTAGGCCACAGTCAGTAACATTTGAACCTCAATGTGAGAATGGATCTTGTAGGCCACAGTCAGTAACATTTGAACCTCAATGTGAGAATAGATGTTGTAAGCCACAGTCAGTAACATTTCAGCCTGAATGTGAAAATGGATCTTGTAGGCCACAGTCAGTAACATTTCAGCCTGAATGTGAGAATGGATCTTGTAGGCCACAGTCAGTAACATTTCAGCCTGAATGTGAGAATGGATCTTGTAGGCCACAGTCAGTAACATTTCAGCCTGAATGTGAGAATAGATGTTGTAGGCCACAGTCAGTAACATTTCAATCTGAATGTGAGAATAGATGTTGTAGGCCACAGTCAGTCAGTCAGAAATCTTCCAGCTATATGACGGCGGTCTGTAAATAATCGAGCCTGATTAATATCATGAGCATCGATCCACGTAATTGGGAGTTGCCGTTAGTCGCCTCATACGACAAGCACAGTCGCCTTTTATGGCAAGAGGGGTTGCTGAAGACCTATTCTAACCCGGATCTTCACGGGTCGAATTAGTAAGGATATGGCCTGGTTTTTGTATGAGGGAATACAATTACAGAATAATATTGTCATCGAGCCACATCTCAAGGATAACACTGAAAGCGAAATAATGCCAAACGTGAAAGGTATGACGTGAATAAACTACAATAGAATATAATCAGAGTAAAGAGATAGTAGCCCTTGGACGTCAACGCCACCAACGTACACAGGATATTTTGTATGCCTTGTCCCAACAATGAGAACTTTAGTGTTATCTGAAACAGCTGTCTCTTAGAATCATTGCGATTAGCATATATGAAACCAACTCTGAACTGTGAAGTGTGGCACTGGTCCAACGGTGCCTCCTTGAAAATAATCTAGATCAGATTACTCACGCAGGGAATGCTCATTGAACAGTCCAGCAAAAGAGTATGTTCTCAACCGTTTATAGTGTATTATAGTGTAGATAAAGAACTACCTCTCCCAAACCATTTCGTGAGGTAAGTAAGAGGCCGACCAATTGAGATTCCGGTGTGTGTGTGTGTGTGTGTGTGTGCGTGCGTGCGTGCGTGCGTGCGTGCGTGCGTGCGTGCGTGCGTGCGTGCGTGCGCACAAAATTAAATGAACGATCCAGTGTTCTTGATGCCTTTTGTTGATATGTATTTTATTTATATGTATGTGTTTTTATAACACCAGAGTTAGTATTCGAAGCCGTCTATACACAGCGTTGTCCTTTGTGGTTATATCTTTTGGAACGATGAACATGATTGTACATGAATATGAGCAGTGAACTGAACTCCCGATTACTGTTAATCCTACGTAGGTTTTTCTACGTTTTTTTGTACCTTTTCATGAAACTATGCGTGATACATAGATGTTGATTTTGAACTTCTCTAAGGCTGTAAAATGGTGCTATTTATGAATACACCGGGGCGCGAAAATGACAATCATAAGTGCACAAAGTCTTCAGGTAGTCCTGTTTGGCTTTCACACGTGTAGTTTTTGAACAACATGTTCCCAAAATGCCATCCATGCCTCCTGACAATACAGAGAGAAGCGAGATAAACATAACAGAATTCACGCAAATAATAATATAGAGTCTCTGAAATAAATTATGTCTAAGGTTAAGGTTATATGTACAAGGTTAAATCAAATAATCCTGTGAAAGAACCCTCCAGTACTTAGTATCTTAAGTTCAAGAGCTAGTATTACTGTGGGGATGAGTATTGGCTGTTTTCTCCCTGTCCTTGTTATTGTTTGTTTGTTGCTGTATGACGGCAGTCTGTAAATAATCGTGTCTGGACCAGACAATCTAGTGACTGACATCATGGGCATCGATCCACTCAGTTGGGATACGACGACATGTATCAACCAAGTAAGCGAGCTTGTCAGCTTCGAATCCCGGTTCGCCCCGATTACATTTCTGGATTTGTCAGCACCATACCCGTGCTCGTGGGTTTCACAGAAGTGGTAAACGTCTGAGACCTGCATTACATCGGGCTTCCTCCCACATTAAGCTGGCACGTCGTGATATAACTGGAATACTGTTAAACGCGGCGTTAAACTCAACTCACTCACTCATACTACAACCAACGAGGTTGGTACCGAAAGTAATGCCGTGTTTGGGGCGCAGGGATGGGCTGTGCAGATTTATAAGAATTGAATATGCGAGTTTGACTTGGTGAGCCCTAACCACTTTGCCATCTTAGTCAACAACAAAATTCAACAAAAAACAAAAACTGAAACAGAACCTTGTATTTTTAACCCTTGTATTTTTAAGTTCTGAAAAGATTTGTCGACACGGTGAAGTAAAGAAAAAATTAGGTCAAAGGGTCACTTCGCTGCCTATATGGAGAACATAAATGTATTTTTTTCATCACTGAAATTATTTAACTTGTTATAAGAAACAAGACATTTATCAATTTTGGGTTGGTCGATCATAAATCCAAAGCACCCACCTAATAACAATTATTCTATCTTTTAGCCTGTTAAGAGGGCGGTGGGGTAGCCTAGTGGTTAAAGCGTTCGCACGTCTCACCGAAGACCCTGTTTCGATTTCCCACATGGGTAGAATGTGTCAAGTCCATTTCTTGTGTCCTCCGACGTGGAATATTGCTAAAAGCAGCGTCAAACTATACGCACTAAAGCCTATTGAAAATAATCAAATGACAGTACTACTCGTATAATTCATAGTTTATATGTGCCAAGCCCGAAAGTTTCAGAGTAGGATAATCAATATTTTCTCAGTAGTATAACAGAGGGCCGTGATACAGCAGCAGATCAATTATTGAAACTTTGCATCATTCAAGTCCCCGTCAACATCCTCGCTGTCGTCAGTTGACACGAGCTGCTAATCGAACACGCCTCCTTGCTGAGTCGGAAATCCCATTGTAGTCTGGTTGGTGGTCTTGGTGGCTGTGATTTGTACAGGCCTAGTTGAGGGAGCACGATATGATTCAGATTACTGACTGATCGATACTTTGTTATGTGGGCATGGTCAGCGAGAACTACTTAAGTGACCACGGCAAAATGGCCTGTTGATACTTGATCAAGGAAGCGAGTTGCACGCATCAGATCAGAAATCTCACCATGAGATGCGACATGTCAGAAGTTTTCACTCGTGGAACTTTGGAGATATTTCTTTTGGACTAACAATGTGATTACATTAATTCTTCAGGAAATAGTCATGACACGGTATCAAATATGCAATAATTTTATTCAATAGTGTCTGATTTGATCATATCTGGTTCCAGACAGTTTGGAGACATTCTATAAAGATGCTCCTGAAAAGTTTGGAATCTTTTGCATAACGGAGTTTTGATCAGATATTCTTTAATAAGATCGACCGAGAAACGCCACAAACTATCATCTTTTTATCTTTTGACCAAGATGTATTTTGAATTACAACTGGTAGTTTTGACTACTGATCGGTTCAGCATGTATGTGCGGTCAACAATGTACAGCTGACTGATCTTTTTACATTTTTTGGGGAAAAAATGAAATAAACACTTGGATCGGAAACTTACTAGTCAAAGACGAAAAAAGAGTTCCCTCTTGAATACTCGTACCAGAGGGCAATATCTCTGATCATCAAAGGACGACACGCAGAGAAATTATAAGCGAACCATTTTTTTCTCTGACTGAACATCACGTCACGATACCTTTTTCTTCTCCTATGAGAAACTACCTTGTTTAGAACTGCCCAGAAACATCATGAAAGGGAGATGACAAGTATTATGAAAGGTGCGAAAATGTTTCATCACAGGTGAAAATAACATTAGTCTTGTTATATGACACACTTGATTCCCGATCTCGTGCATCAGAGCAACGGCTGCATAGCATGTGATCAGCCTTGTGCAATATTACATGGGTTGGTGAGGATTTCGGAGGTCAGCTGAAAACATCCCTCAGAAATATAATTTTCCCAGTATCCAAAGTGCGTCGCGAAGTGCATTGGGGAACATCATAGGAATCCCACATCTTTCAGAATTGCTGTTGACGAGCGTCTACGAAAGAGGATAAAATCGTATTTCTTTAAGGAGTTCATTGTTTGAAAGGTAAGCATCTTTGAATTTCTTATTTCTGGTGTTGAAGATTTACGCGTATTGGGCTTATTGAGTGGTGATATTAGACTGAGGTTCATAGCATAGTTTACGCTGCACTGTTTGGCATTTTGATAGCGGCATGGGTACAATTTAGCTCCACAATATGAACGTTACAAAAGTATAGCAAGAATCGTAACCAGCATTCCCTTTCATTCACACACACGGCGCCATACGCCATGTAAATGACTTTGTTATGCATTTGAAAGATGTGATGCTTAAAGATATTAATCCTCACCAAACCTTCCTTCATTTTGATTCTGTATAAGGTAAACATAAATCGTATAATTGTCTCCATCTTGTGATGATGAACCTAGAAATGTATTTTCATATATTTCAGTATTGTTCCGGTTATGATAAGAACAATGTACTCTACGCCCCTTTCCTTGTCATGTTTCAAATATTTTTGAAAGGGATAATTGAAAAAAATGTCACCTTATTATCTATTGATCGGGGAGAAAAAAGGATAATTGAACGTGGCTACATTCCCGCTCCTTTGCATTACGTTTCCATTAGCAACACAGCTTCACTTAATTTTGTTGGATTTTTTCGTTTCGATTTGAGTGATACTTTTTAAAAGTAACCCTCATCCCTGAGTATGAAGCAGTTACACACAGACGGATTGTTTTAAGGTTTTGCTTGATATATCTTTTATATCCGCCGCTGCATTAACACATTTGAACATGACGAAGTGTTGAGAAATATAAAGGGTATGTTATTCTGGTTGTTTTAAGGTGAAGCGAACGTCTTTAACATACCTAATGTTTAACTCAAAGGTTAAGGTCATTTTAAAAGTCATACCCTTGGAATGTTCTTTCCGGAGGAAAACGCCAGTTCTATGACGTCCAAAACGTTATACATCACCATTGCGGTTGGTTTCCAACTGTTTTGTTGAACTGATTGTCGATGACATTCGTATTGGGTCAAGTCACCATGAAGGTCGTTCGAAGGATAGAGTTACTTTTCTTAGTTGTGGATATATGTTTGGAGGGTTGTAGGTAACTTGACATGATTCAAAATGTTATATCACCGTGAAGGTCCCGCTAACGTTATCAACATTATTACATGCTCATATATGTGTGAGTATTAGTCGTATACGACATCTATACAACCTAGATTAGTTGTTTGAAATGCATCAACCAAGTCGTATTTCCTGACCACCCGATCCCGTTGGTCGCCTCATAGTCGCCTTTAACGACAAGCATGGATTGCTGGAGACCTAATCCACCCCGGACCTTCACGGGTAGCTAGATTAGTAGAAAAAGCGTTCGTTCGTTCGTCACAATGCCCAACTTTGATTTCCACATGGATACAATGTGCTGTCCATTTCTGGTGTCTCGAGCCATGATATTGCTGAAATAGTCATTTGCTATAATGATACCCACTTACCATATCCATTGATGCATTCAATATGGGATTTGCAAAATCAGTATGTTAGTGAATAATCCTAATCCCAGGTTCTACTTTATTGGAATTTGAATCATTATGCCCATATCATAACATACGCTACTTCCGTCTGGTCTTTACAGTTTACATTTAACACACTGTTTCGTCACTGTATAGACCTACCGGTGATAAATATTAACATCTTTATATTGCTTCTAAATTAAGGGGGCGGTCGTGGTTAAAGCGTTTGCTCGTCACGCCGAAAACCTGGGTTCGATTCCCGACATGGGTACAATGTGTGAAGCCCATTTCCGGTGTAGCCCGCCGTGATATTGCTGGAATATTGCTAAAAGCGGCGTAAACCTCACTCATTCTAAATTATGATAACAAAAGACATTTCCAGTTCTAAAAATGTTTACCTACCTCATCATAAGTATTCGAATCGCATTATAGTTATTTGTAGGGTATTGAACCATTACTTAACTGTACCAGTGAAAACCTGCAATTTTGTAGCAGCAAGAGGTTGCGTGATATCGATCTTGTTCAGACACCACAGACCATCTTCAGATGAACTTGGTATATGTGAATTTAGATATTGTACTGTTATACAGCATATTATATTGATTACCGTAAGGTCTAAGTGCGTTCATGTATAATTTCATAAAGACTTAATTCATTCAAAAGTAAACGGCTTTAAGTTGATGCCCCAATCGAAAAAATGCACACATTTATGCGAAAACATTGTAAACTCATCAGCTGGGGAATATTTCAGTTCCAGATACTTTTTCAACGAAACAGATGCATTTTACCCCCCTTGTTCCGGAACCTCGTGACTACGGAAACAACGCCTACCGAGCGATAACTGCAGATAAATCTATATCAATCAGGGCACAGTCCAACATATCTATTATTCATTATTCAGGACATTTGTTAAACCGAGCGATCTAACTTGGGACTGTAACGTCCTGTTTTTAGGGTTTTCACTTTATATGATTGTCGCTACACTAAATTTTAAAAGGGCTATAAAATCCCATATCTCTTATACATGAAAGATTTTCAGGCACAGGAGAGATGTGTATGTCATACAAGCTAACCTGCCGGGCACACGTGACTATACACCCATGTTTAATGATGGCGGTAAAAATAAAACAAACACGAAATGGTTGTACGATGGTCATGTTTTGGTCCTTAAATTTGCAGTGTTTCGGCGACTGTTCAGCCTAGTAATGTTTAGAAACGTTTGGTAACATTTGTAAGTTTCTTTTCCCTGGATATTTATTGTGTACAGGTTTGTGTTCCTGGAGGTGTGTACAGGTTTGGGACGCTGGGTGTGTGTACGGGTTTGTGTCGCTGGAGGTGTGTACGGGTTTGTGTCGCTGGTGGTGTGTACAGGTTTGTGTCGCTGGAGGTGTGTACGAGTTTGTGTCCCTGGAGGTGTGTACAGGTTTGTGTCGCTGGAGGTGTGTACGGGTTTGTGTCCCTGGAGGTGTGTACAGGTTTGTGTCGCTGGAGGTGTGTACGGGTTTGTGGCGCTGGAGTTGTGTACGGGTTTGTGTCGCTGGTGGTGTGTACAGGTTTGTTTCGCTGGAGATTTGTACAGGTTTGTGTCGCTAGTGGTGTGTACAGGTTTGTGGCGCTGGTGGTGTGTACGGGTTTGTGTCGCTGGAGGTGTGTGCGGATTTGTGTCGCTGGAGGTGTGTACGGGTTTGTGTCGCTGGTGGTGTGAACGGGTTTGTTTCGCTGGAGGTGTGTACGGGTTTGTGTCGCTGGTGGTGTGTACGGGTTTGTGGCGCTGGAGGTGTGTACGGGTTTGTGGCGCTGGAGGTGTGTACAGGTTTGTGTCGCTGGAGGTTTGTACGGGTTTGTGTCGCTGGAGGTGTGTACGGGTTTGTGTCGCTGGAGGTGTGTACGGGTTTGTGGCGCTGGAGGTGTGTACAGGTTTGTGTCGCTGGAGGTGTGTACGGGTTTGTGTTGCTGGAGGTGTGTACGGGTTTGTGTCGCTGGAGGTGTGTACGGGTTTGTTTCGCTGGAGGTGTGTACGGGTTTGTTTCGCTGGTGAAATGTACGGGTTTGTGTCGCTGGAGGTGTGTACGGGTTTGTTTCGCTGGTGGAATGTACGGGTTTGTGTCGCTGGTGGTGTGTACGGGTTTGTGTGGCTGGTGGTGTGTACGGGTTTGTTTCGCTGGAGGTGTGTACGGGTTTGTGTCGCTTGAGGTGTGTGCGGATTTGTGTCGCTGGAGGTGTGTACGGGTTTGTGTCGCTGGTGGTGTGAACGGGTTTGTTTCGCTGGTGGTGTGTACGGGTTTGTGTCGCTGGTGGTGTGAACGGGTTTGTGTCGCTGGAGGTGTGTACGGGTTTGTTTCGCTGGTGGAATGTACGGGTTTGTGTCGCTGGTGGTGTGTACGGGTTTGTGTGGCTGGTGGTGTGTACGGGTTTGTGTCGCTGGAGGTGTGTACGGGTTTGTGTCGCTGGTGGAATGTACGGGTTTGTGTGGCTGGAGGTGTGTACGGGTTTGTGTCGCTGGTGGTGTGTACGGGTTTGTGTCGCTGGTGGTGTGTACAGGTTTGTTTCGCTGGTGGTGTGTACGGGTATCTTCGAGCTGGAAGTTCTCATGCACCACTTGACCTTCGGTCTCCTGGAGTGTAAGGTAACTGTGGCTGGCAAAATCCGATTTAGACTTTGGCGACATTTATAATAATATTGTGATCAGTTACAGGAATGGACACCAAATACCATCACTTTTGAGTTTCTATTTCTAAGAATTACAGTAATCTTTATAATTCTAACTTTGGCAGTGAACTATGTCTATCAAAAGGAAAGAATTGGAGGACCGGTTCAAATGTTACCCTTCAGTGACAAAAATGATGATGCAATTCCCTATTTTGTCTTGAAACACATCTTTTTTTATTTCAGGTGAATAATTGACTTGCCTTTGCATGTGTTTGTGACGGCTGGTACCGGTGGGCAGGATACGCTTAGCTTTTCGCGAACACCCGGTATCATCTCTTTTTCATAGTGATTCATAAACAAATTCTCATGATATAGTCGAAATCGAACAATGGACACTGCTTTTAGCAGAGATTTCCCATGTTTTGGGAGAGGATTTTGTCGCTTTTAGCCTATACTATCGTAGTCCCGCCGTTATCTTAGTATAATGAATAAAATAGAAAACGAATGGGTCAAATTTAATATGAACACCTGCCGTAAGGCTTTTTCTAACTGAAGATATAGGTTCTCATACGAGAGGATGTAATGGTGGTATATCCCTGAAAGTAAAACCATCGATGATTTGGCTGATGTTGATAATGCATAGACGTTACATTTACTACCACATAAACGCTTGTTGATCTCATATTTATAATGTCCATTAAAATTGATGAAATCCTTCCAGCCATCTCAAACAATCATAATTTGATCTTACCGTCGATGTTGCAAATGATGTTGATGGACAGAAACATGGGCTTTGTATTTCGCCCGAACAATTAAATTAATATTGATTACACACGAGGCTATTAACAACGTTATCATTGTGATATTAGGTTACAAGACATATACGACTAGTTAATAAT